CCAGAAATTTGGTTATGACGTCAGGGTAGGGGTAAAAACTCAGTCGGATAGGGAGGGGAGTCCCAGACGTGTACGTTGCGTTTTATTTTGGCGCAAAATTAACCATTTTAGGGGCAACCATCGGAATTGTTCAGGTAAAAATCTAGATGAAGTTTCTTGTGTTTGACTTGCGGCAAAATTTTCGGAAATAAATTTTTAAGGCTTTAATTATTGCTTGGTCACGCTTTTGGTCGCACTCAAGGAACAACCTCTTCTCCCCCCTTACCTTAGTCAAAACTTTGACAGCTGAATTCATGCGTTAAAACGTATGCATTATTTAGAAAATTGTTTGCCGAGACTACCTGCCGACAATTGAACCCATTCAGGGGTAAGAATTCTTTCCAAGACTATTACTGTGATCGAATTTGATGGATAATTTTCTCTTTTTTATTTTAAAATCATTTTTATTTTATTTTAAAGCATATAAAGGATATAAATGGACGCCTCGCTTTAAGCCCTGGCTAAGTCTATATATTACTTTCCTAGGGGGGTCCTGCTCAGTTTTAATGATAGAACTTACCCAACTGTTGTGAGTGACACCACTGCCCACCAGAATCCCTCAGGAGAGCCTTCTGTAAATGCGGTTGAAAACGTTTTGTTTGTTCTGTGTTCCTGTTGCCAACCAAGAAATGCATTTTAATATTAGCCCGCGGCATATGCGACATCTCTGTCAATAATAAATAGCGTTTACTTCTGGAGACATAAGATGCGGAACGATGTGTTTTTTCTTTCGGCTAGAAATTCTTTCGGAATAATGTTTTTGCTGGGTAGGGGGCACTCTGAGGAAAATTTAGCATTAAGAGGCCAGTCAACAAAATACTATCTGAGAACTTCAATCCCCATCAACATCATGGCTAGGGCGAAATTCACCAGCCTATTTCTATGTATTTCATTCCCAGGACCTTGATGAGGATGAGAAGAAAGAAGAAATGGTTTGCGCCCAAAAGCCTGGAGATGTAGAGGAGAAAATTAAACAGGTAATGATTAGCTTACCAACAACCAAATAACTACTCCTGAAATGCCAGAAAGCAGTATAATACAAGCCAGTATTGGCCACTGTGAGGTAATAGAAGTCAATAACTGAGTACGTGATTCCGCCTCGCACTGTTTTGTGTTCACAATCAATGAGCAGCCCTGTGACGCAAACGCCCGAATAATTGTTACGTTTTCGATGCCATCAAGAGCTTCCTTAGCCTCAGAAAAAATGGGAAAAGCAAAATCCACCTTGTTGCTTTTAACTAAATCAACTAACTCGTCGGTGTTCTTAACAAACGTGGCCTGCAAATTGCACGGTAATTGTTCCCCAGGTCCCGTGCCGAAGCATGCAGTATTTATAAACCAAACTATTCGGTCGTACATAAATCCTCTCTCCGAGATTTTTGTTTTGTTCATCACATATGGTGGAAAGTCCAGTAGGGCAACGGTGTAATTACATTTCTGCTCGTTGGAACCGGGCTCCTCTAATTCTCGAGCTTTTCGATTTGCTCGATTGTCACGCACATGTCTAATTAGTCTGGACTGATGTAAGCTGCTGTAACTTTTACTGCTTATGACGGCAGTCAGTTCATATCCAAGCAGAAAACAAATGGCCAATCCAACAGCGATAGAATACATTGCAGTCGATGTCAGCCTCCTTCGTTTAAGACTCTGTGTTCAGCAGCAGTCAGTTTAATCTGAAAAAATAAGTGATTATCTATGTATTATATATTCTCATTAATTAGTGAGCTGTCAAGGTTGGGTTAAATTATATTGGCTTTATAAAGCTCAGTTCCTGTGAGTTGGGTCTTATTTGAGATGGATCGTAAATCAATTAAGTCTTCTAAAAAGGTGATTTCCGTCCACGCTGCTGGGTCACTTCCTTAAGAAATTAGTGATATTTCAAATAACTCATTGTCACTTTCCTAAGTCCCTTACTCTTGTTGAGTTAATCTGTACGGGAAATGAAGGTAATAAGCGTAATCTTAATTGTTTCTGTAATTTAGTGCTTTTAGTATAGGTAATAGCATGATTTGTCGTGATATTTGGCATAAATACCACGAGTTATATTTCGTAATTGTTAGATGTAATTTCACGAGCCCTTAGGCAAGTGAAATTTGAAACAATTTTGAAATATCACAAGTGGTATTTATGCCAAATATCACGTACAAATCGTGCTATTATTTGTTTATACTACTACCCGCACAAGATTTGTAATTTTCACATGTACGTATTTCAAATTAAGCTGAAATACCATTGCTCTAAGCCAATCAAATTGCAAAAATTTCTCATGTAGCAGTATAAGAGATGTAATATCATTAGCGATCACCAAGGACTCTTGTTGGCTTGTCACCGGTCTGGGGAGGGGGAGGGGAGGGGGGGGGGGGCTCAATAAACGAAGGACAGGGGTTCAACATCTATATTTCAGTTGTTTTCGTATAATGCGCGGACCAATTTTTCAACTTCCGTGGAAAAGCTTTTTTCAGTTGTAATGTTTCCCGTTTCGTTTTTGTGGTTCATGACGAACTCGAGTACGAATAACAACAATATGCATCGATATTTGCATGACAGTGTAATACTTACAGTAACACAAAACATTGCAATCTTTAAAATTATAAGAAATCGACATTTTATGAAAATGTAATGAAGTGAACTTGGCCCAGTGCATATTTATGGCATAGCTGTCTCACTGTTGTTAAGTTACGTAGTCCTCACTGACATTTCCTTTTCTACAGTGAAAGAAAGCGCACGTGCAAGAAGTATGCTTGCAGAACAGTTCCTTCACGATGATGATGCTTGGAATAGAAAGGATTCTAGGCATCACTTAGTTGTCGATTTAAAACTTATTACCTTTCATTTGTCTGAACTACTGCACCGATTTTATAATCATGATTATTGAATCTGCTTAGACTGGGGAAACAGCAGGTAAAAAATGGCTCTATATACCCAATTTTTATTTTCTGATTGATGAACTTTACTAAATAGAGAGTATAAAGCTATTAAGTTTTATAATCATCGCTTAGACAATTTTTCCGTTATAATCTGTTTGCGTTACAACCCAGCACGGTACACTATTGACTTTGAAAAAGCAGAAGAACTCTAATGCCTGTAGAAAATTAGTGTATTTCCTGTTTAAGCAGTCTGACTAGAGAGAAACTATAATTTTCATATTTGCTTAGGCAAGTTTTTCCAATAACATTTAGTTGCGTTGTAGCCCCTTCACCCCACTGGAGAAAACATCAAAACTCTGATTATTTAACATTGTGCTAGATAGAATTAAAATTTTTTTACGGCCAAGGTCTTAGCAATGCACTTGAAGAAATACAAAAAGTGCCCTAGTCATTTTTCAATTGTGGCTACCACAAGCCAGTTTCTCCTACAGATGTTTATTTAATTTGCGTTGCCCTTTCCGTGGGGTGTTTCATTATGTGCAGTCTACAGCGTCTTTTCAGACGGCGGCTTATCTAATTCTAGACTGATGTTGGTCTTCTGCGTGAATAGGTGTTTTGAAAATCCATTGAATGCGCGATTGGATCTGAATCTAAAGCTAAGCAAATTGCACAAACATAAGTGGGCGGTAATCAACATAGTCACAGCAAGACAAGTGCAGTCAGTGGGCGAATATAAGATTGCAGAAGGACCTGTTACGACAACAACATTCGAGAAAGAACTTAGAAACGGTGTATTGTCTGACTTGAGTAAAAAAGGATTCACCAGAACTGATTTGCTTTGTACTTTCAGGCTATAACATAAGAAAGAAGACAGAATATTTACTACTGCAGAGTACTTTATCCGCTGATGAGGTGTATAATTTCATATAATATAATGTGGCGGTTTCGATGCTTTATCGAAATATGTGACATATCATGGTAAACAAATCAACTTAGCGTGAATTCAGAAAGTTATCTTTGTTTGTCACAAAATAATAACAAATGACTGCAGTTCGTTTAGCAGTCACATTAGGAGCGTTGCCAAATTAAAGCAAACATTTTCCGAGTTAAGTTTTAGTCCCAAATTTGTCAGGTGAGTCTCAGTAAGAATAATTTATGGGTTGAAGCCATACATCCATATATATCAATACATCAAGCGTTACTTATCTCACCCTTAAAGAAGGATGAAATGAAATATTGCATAAATCCTAATTCACGTATTAAAAAAAGAATTGTTCTATATCCTTGGCCTCAGTTGTTCGAAAGCTGGATAACACTATTAACCGGGTAAATCTCTCAGTTCGTTTAGCAGTCACATTAGGAGCGTTGCCAAATTAAAGCAAACATTTTCCGAGTTAAGTTTTAGTCCCAAATTTGTCAGGTGAGTCTCAGTAAGAATAATTTATGGGTTGAAGCCATACATCCATATATATCAATACATCAAGCGTTACTTATCTCACCCTTAAAGAAGGATGAAATGAAATATTGCATAAATCCTAATTCACGTATTAAAAAAAGAATTGTTCTATATCCTTGGCCTCAGTTGTTCGAAAGCTGGATAACACTATTAACCGGGTAAATCTCTCNCTTGAGTAAAAAAGGATTCACCAGAACTGATTTGCTTTGTACTTTCAGGCTATAACATAAGAAAGAAGACAGAATATTTACTACTGCGGAGTACTTTATCCGCTGATGAGGTGTATAATTTCATATAATATAATGTGGTGGTTTCGATGCTTTATCGAAATATGTGACATATCATGGTAAACAAATCAACTTAGCGTGAATTCAGAAAGTTATCTTTGTTTGTCACAAAATAATAACAAATGACTGCAGTTCGTTTAGCAGTCACATTAGGAGCGTTGCCAAATTAATGCAAACATTGTCCGAGTTAAGTTTTAGTCCCAAATTTGTCAGGTGAGTCTCAGTAAGAATCATTTATGGGTTGAAGCCATACATCCATATATATCAACACATCAAGCGTTACTAATCTCACCCTTAAAGAAGGATTAAATGCAATATTGCATAAATCCTAATTCACGTATTAAAAAAAACATTGTTCTATACCCTTGGCCTCAGTTGTTCGAAAGCTGGATAACGCTATTAACCGGGTAAATCTCTCTCCAGTGGATAGTGCGATTGGTTTCCCTAATACTTATCCAGTGGATAGTGATTTGTTCAGTGGATAGCGCTATCCAACATTCAAACAACCGGGATCTGAAGTTGTAGGCAAACCTGTTAAAAATCTGCTGTAATCGATCGTTCTTTCGTCGTTTGAAATAAGGTAACAAATTTCGTACTTCAGCGAAATTGTTGCGAAGACTCAGTGCTAAATTTGCATGTGGAAAACAATGTAAGCGACTGTACGCAGATGAAGAACAATTCTATGCACTCTTGCCTTTTATGCTCTCACGGACAATGAATTCGCGGTTATGGATAATTGAAAACTCGTTAGACTGTTGAAAATTACCATAGTTTTGTTTTAGTTTCTTCGTACATTAGCGCGTTACGATTTCCGCTCATTAAACAGTCAATTAGGCTTAAAAACCTCGAGATATCGTAAACTTATGAACTGCTGCTTGTAGTTGGTAGAAAAGCAAAATACAACAAAAACTGGATAAAATCGTTGCTCCAACGAGTGTCGGGTCACTGTAGTTTATGTTTTGAAACTTAAATTAATTCCGCAGAACAGGTGACGTAACTATCGTTAACAGACACAATTACCAGCAAGTTGGAAATAATCTTCAAAGTCGCTAACTCGGTTGGAAAAAATTAAAATTTTCACTGTGCTAAATGTATTTTTTTGCCTGTTTGATTAGTATTACTCAACAGGGAACCGTGATGACCTTAACGTTTTATGTCAATAATCATCAGGTTGAAAAGTAACGGGAAATGTTTTCTTTTATCACCGTACATGATCGTCTTTCCCTTTTCTTGTTGCTTACTGTTTTACTACATCTATCTGTTTTACCAATAAGAATTAAGTCCGGCAGTTTTTATTTACTCATTTCCTAATTTCAGAAAGTTGTCAACTTCAATGTAAAGCTTGCCGTTTTCCATAAACCTGATTCTAAGTCTCTCTAGACTATTAAATGATAACCTGAAGCCTCAATTTGATGGCCAGGAGAAAGAATTAAACTGCGGCCTTATCTTAAATTGTTAGAAAAAGGAATATCTAATTAACTAGGCAAAGTTGCACTACGTGGCGTGGCTACGTGTGAGTATTTCGATTTATGAAATATGTTTAGTAAACCTTTTCAAGTATGCACTATACAATATTCGGTCTGGTAATTGTCTACGGATTTAAAAAAGATTCGGTTTGACATATTTTCACATTTTTTCAGTTTACGAGTTTTCTGTATATTTATTTCCAGTCACAGATGTCTTCGATGTAATTGTAACTCTTCTCATATCCTAGAATTCTTCAAATATTCAACTTCTGGGTTCTTGATAAAAGAAAATTAAAGTAATCTATCTTGCAAATGTTACAGTCATTCTAGGCATGTCCAGCGACATTTGTTATATGACTTTGTTTCTTTTAAGTCTTCTCAAATTTTAATTTCTCCGGGCTTTCATTTGCCCCGCGGCCTCAGCAGTTACCAGAGGAGTTTCTAAAGATTTTAGTGGACAAGATATTTTGTAACAATTCATTTTTTTTATTACTCCTGAAGTGTCAAGTGTTTTGACAGAAACGACACATATTGCTCC